AACTCTACTGACAAGCAACATGATGGTGATTTGAAATGAAAACGGACTCTACTGGCGAGCAACCTGATAATGGATTGAAGTGGAAAAGAATGAGAAACTGGTTACATATTTTATGTAAAAAAGGATTTTACTGACGAACAAAACTGATAATAGATTAAACAAATTGATTCTACTGACGAGCAAATCGATTCGAAATAAAAAATAATTTTTGCTTATAAGCAAAACAATAATAATTTTTAGGTAAAAAGGCACTCTACTGACGAGGAAACTTATAATTGATTTGAAATATAAAAAAGACTCACTGATGATGTCTCAAAACAAAATCAAAATTTCGAAGATTCAAATTATCCATTTTCTTCTATATGTCTGATAGTCTAAATTAGTCAAGTGAAAATAGATATCACTATTGCTTGACATCAAGTTGTCCAAAGTAGCTATTGCATCTGAAATTGAAAAGCTAAAGTTCTTACTATTAGGCCAGGGTGATGCCTTATTAAATAAATATTATTTCAAATTTTTATAACCTGCAAAGGGTTCGAAGACAGAAATACGAATTTAATTGTTGTTCTTTTATAATTCATGCACACTCAAATTTTCGAAAGCCCTAAGAAGTTTTACTTCCAAAATTATTCTGTGCAAAATCTAGATCCATAAGCAGGTACTCCAAAACATGTGCTCAGAGGGATTTAAACATTATTTTCAAACTTTAGGGATGATCGAAATAGTTTAGGTGACTTTGTGATACCTTCTTACCGGAATTGAGTAACAGAATAGCAACTTGCCTTAAGGCAAAATTCGAACTTTCTGCATGGACATATCATTTAAAAGGGCTCGAAGAGAGGAGTACGAATTTAGTATTTGTTCTTAATCATACTATAATAGTTAGAAAATATACTAAAATGTTACTACCTAAAAGAATAATGTGTAACTTGCCTGAAGGCAAAACTAGAACACTATTTTGCATGTGACATATCAAATGAAAGGGCTCGAAGAGTAGATTCCAAAATTAGTTTTTGTTTATACTATAATTGTTAAAAATTGATACTGTTTGATACTATTCATAATTGTCATCAACATTCTCTAAGCAAATGTACTACCTAAAAATTCATTAGAAAAAACAAAGACAGTCTTAAAATTTAAATTAAAACCAAAATTTGATTGACTTGTCTGTAATAAGGGCTAACAATGTGAATTTGTATCGTTTTCTCGCTCACTCGTAAGTTAGAGACGCATCTTTTATCTCTTTCTCCCTCACAATAATGTTACTTCTCAAAATAATAATGTGCAACTTGCCTCAAGGCAAATCTCGAACACTATTTTGCATGTGACATATCATTTGAAAGGGCTCGAAAAGAAGAATACGAATTTAGTATTTGTTCTTATTTATATTCTAATAGTAAGAAAATATACTAAAAATGTTACTGCCTAAAAGAATAATGTGCAACTTGCCTTTAGGCAAAACTCGAACAATATTTTGCATGTGACATGTCGTTGAAAAGAGCTCGAAGAGAGGAATACGAATTTAGTAAACAATTTTATTTATAGTTTATAAGTAATCTAAATGTCTTATTAAAGTGAATATTGAAGTTTTGGTGCTATTGAATGGTGATTGCAAGGCCAAGGTCTCTATTACCAGGCCACGGGTACTAAATAAATATTAATTCAATTGTTTTTTCAGCAATAAATGCACAAGTTGAAATTCATCTATAACAATATGTCATATAATAAGATGACAAAGATGGTTAAATTGAATTTCATTGACTAGTTTGTAATAATGACTAACAATAAGAATTTGTATTGTTTTCTCACTCACTCGCACGTTACTGACGTATCTTTTATCTCTTTCACTCTCACAATAATGTTACTACTTAAAATAATAATGTGCAACTTGCCTCAAGACAAATCTCAAACACTATTTTGCATGTGACATATCAAATGAAAGGGCTCGAAGAGAGGAATACGAAATCAGTACTCATTTTTATTTATAATTTATAATAAATTTAAATATCTTATTAAACTCAATTTTTAGTTATATTAAATGGCAAATGCAAGATCAAAGTTCTTGGTTTTAGGCCACGATGATTTTCTATTGAATAAATATTATTTCAATTGTTTCTTCAACCATAAGTGCATAAATTAAAATTCATCTATACGATGACAAAGATGGTTATTATGATGATATGAGAGTTGGAGGGTGAGAGTTAAGGGCTGCGTTAAGTTAATTGCTTGCTTACACGTATAACATTACAAATTATGAATATACATACGCACACATACTATACATTTATGTATATTAATATATGTATATTGGCGGTGGTTTATTTGCATTGGAAAAGGGTTAAGTTACCGCCATCGCCGCCATCACCACCATTGTTGAGATGTGCTTTTCACTTAATGCCAAAACAAACTGCTATTAGATGATATCTGATAATAAATACATTTCGGCAGATAGATGACACAGGGCGCTGGTGGGGCAGGGGGGGCTACGGCTAATGCTGTGTGCGTAGATTTGTACGTTTCGAAAAGTCATCTTCAGTGAAATTCAGTAAAAAGATTTTTAATAAACCATGTGGAAATATGAGGCATATTCCACAAAAGTTTAAATGTCATCATTTAATGTACGAGATTTAAATGGATTTCACAATAAACTTTAAACAATAAAAATGTACTCAAATAAATATGTCTTAATTACTCAATTTAATAAGACATCACCGTGACCTAGTAGTAGGAACTTTTACCCTGCATCAAATTGCTCAAACTTCCCGTACCGTAATTAAACATTCGAGTACAAAAAAAACAATAAATATTGATCAGTGATTAATAACAATTGTTTTTAATATTTTCACATGTTTTGAGTTGTCTGAAAATGTGTTAAATATTCTGAAAATGTATATTTTGTTAATAATTTATCCAATAACATATAAAGTATTATATATCAATAAAAAGCTAATTAACTAAATAACAGCATTTAACATTTTTGCACTTTTAGAACAAAATTGTTTGCAAAATGACTTTGAATATTCACTATTTCAAACAACATGATATCACTGCTAACAATCTTTTGCTAATTTTGTGTACTTTGTCTATATTTAGCGTTATTTTGGTAATAATTTATTTGATACCATATAAACTATATATATCAATAAATAGCTTATTAAATATCCTAAAAGACCGCATACAACATTTTTAAACTTTTAGAACAAAATTATTTGCAAAATAGTTTTGAAAGTTAAAGATTTAAAATATGAAATTATAGTCTGTTTGATATCTCTACGAGTTCACATCGAAATGCTATCTTTATTGATACCACTATTTTATTCAAAACTCCTAAAATATTACGTAATAATATAAATGATTTTTGCAGCAAAATTTAGACGAATAAAAATCACTGAATATTTTTGAACGCTAAAAAACTCAAATCAAAATCAAAATCTTCAATTTTACAAGCATATTTGAACTGATTTTGGCAAGGATTAGCAGATATTTTGATTTCATCCAGTTCCAATCAAAATGTTTAATTTCTGTGTAATATTCGGTTTCGTATAGAAAGATTTTTTTTTTTTTTAGAAAAAGATGACTGATTGATTGTGGTAGTGATGTAGTGTTAGTGACTTGGACTGTTTCTGATCTGAATTATTCATCAAAAATAATCTTGATTCAAATTATGAAATTTCAAAAATTTTAAAAATTGTTTACAAAGAAACTGCCCAGCCGTTCTTTACTAACAACTAATCAACACAAATCTTAACTGATATCTTTAGAACGGATTTTAAATTTTCAAAGTTGATTAAAATGTTTGCGTAATCACAAACGCTTACATACACAAACGATTCAGAATGGCTTGAAACTTCGAGAAAACATAAAATCAGCAATTTGGATTCTCTGGAGAAAACTAACTCTTTCTTCTGGAAGTTAATAAATAAAAAATATAATATTTGATGAGTTGTGTGTGAATTCTTTATATGTAAATTATTGATAAACAGTATTAAAGCCTTATTTAAAATAACGATATTTTAATCAAAATGTATTTAGCAATTTTAGAGAATGTAACACTGTTTAGTTGATTATCTGTATTTTAGGACGAACCTACGAATAACCTTGATATTGAATCAATTGATGCATTGGCAGAAGCCATAAATGGATATAAAGGCGGAGTTATTGTAGTTACGCACGACGAAAGACTTATTAGAGAAACCGATTGTGCCTTATATGTGATAGAAGATAGAACGATAAATGAGGTTTGTTATTAAAAAATAAAATTTCTCCTAAATATCATAGAATCCGAAGATGTGCTGTCAGTTAGCACTTTATATCTAATACTTTTTTGCACAAAAATCATATAGAAGTTTATAGGTGTTACTTGATGACATAATGAAAATCAGTAGATATTTCAAATTTCCCAAAAGTTTTTCATTGGTTTTAGTAAATATATATTATTTATAACTATTTTTAAATTGCTGGAAATCATCCCCAATAGTCATATTTTTTTAATACATTATTAATCATCTTTATAATACATTTTAATTGTCATATTTTTATTTCTTTTTTTTAACTTGAATGTATATGAGAATTTAATAATATCATGCACTAGTTTGTCATTTATAATGTTTTCATAATTTTAGGTGGATGGAGATTTCGATGACTATAGAAAGGAATTATTAGAAAGTCTGGGTGAAGTAGTGAATAATCCAAGTATTGCCGCTAATGCAGCAGTATCATAAAAGAATATCACAATATACATAAATGCTGCATATTACTTCCAATTCTATTATGTATATTGCGCTTTGTAAATCAAAAGAAATAAAGAAATTCATTATCTTACAACATGTACGATATCGCTTGCCTTGGTTTAAGCATTAAGGATGCATGTAATTGTGATATAAAACTCTTGGTATGCCAATTTTCCATTTCAAATTATCAGATTGTGGGGTGTCAATGTTTCAAATAAATGTTTTTAATTTTAAATTATTGAATATGTAAACTAGATCTATTCAGTAGCACAACACTTATCTTCCTATCCAAAATTATTGAGATTATTGAGATATCAAAATGAGCTTTTCAAAATCGAAATTGATACAATTTGGCTTCTTTGAATCATGCAATTACCCTTTATGTTTAGTTTAATTTGTGATTTTTTTCCATTTGTTATATGGTGAAAATGTAGCGAATTGATTATTTTAACATTGTATTAGATTTAATGAAAGTTGAATATTTACTCAATTATATATATATATATATATATATATATATATATATATATATATATATATATATATATATATAGATAGATAGATAGATAGATACTTTATTCAAATTCAACATTTACAATTTAAGTCAATACAATTATACTCTAATATAACTAAATTAATATCAGTTATGTTTATGAACAACTCTAAGATTATATATATATATATATATATATATATATATATATATATATATATGATTTAGTAGTTAATTTTGATGTTGAAATATATGAGTGACCGGCCAATGTATGTATTTTTTTAGATAATTTGCAACACATATTGTGGTCAAGATTCTTAGGCCGTAGGAGCCATTGTCGAACAGTTTGAATCCTCAAATCAACACACATTTTTATAACAAGTTTAGTTTAAAAAAGACTCAAATTACTTGTTGAAAATGTTGAAAATATTTGATGATTCTTTATTGTGTTTAACTATTACTACTATTCGGACTGTACGTTTTCTTGGAAAAAGATTTTGTTGAAACTGAAAACTATGTTACCAGTCTATAAATATTTTGATTTTACTCTATGTTTAAATTAGAATAAATGAACAGTTTGTGCTGAGTCTTGTTTCAACGAGTGTTTCTAGACAATATGAGAACAATATTCAAGACCTGTGTCCTTATCCTTATAATAAATTTTAGTTTCATAACTGATGGATTTAAAGCTGAAGTTTTTTTTTATATGAAAATATGACTGAGGTAAGTACCAAATAATGTTTTATATTTCAAATTTTATGCAAAGTGGTTTATGTTTATGTATTCATAAATATTTTGGCAAACAGTAGTAACAGTTTCGGAGTACTGTCTCCTACAAGTTTGTGGACAAAACAACTAGTTTTATTATTATTATAACTATATACTCTTAATTTAAATGTTTTTGCCAAAAACTAATCACCACTTCTCCCGTCATTACGAACTGAATGTTTTTTAGATCATTCAAATCGGATCTAAAAAGATATTGGTAATAAAGAAAATAAATAATAACATTAACCAAAACACAATTTAAGATATAAGATGATTTATTTGCTGGATGTGGTCTCCTTGAAGTACAAAATGGAACAGGACGAACATAAACACAATAAGCCTAATTGCATAGAACCATAGTATACTTCACTCTGTATTACAAAGATAAGACGCGCGCGAAATTCGAATACACAAATACATTTGTCCAGATATCTACATCCATATCTCAAAAACTCGGTTTCTATTTTCTACATTCTTTGCTCCTGGACCTGCCTTTGCCAAAAACTAATCAGCACAGCCACTCGCACATTTGGCATACTACATTTTTAGGAAACTTATATCTTCCATTTAAAAGTAAGACTATCGCCATGCAATGGTTACCAATATAAATAAGACACTATATTTTCACAAATCAGAAAGAGGTTCTGTATAACGAATTGGCCGAGGTCGTTAAGTTACCACTACAGTTGGTCAATGTTCCCTGGTTCAAATCCTCGTAGAGGCTTGAAAAATCTAGTCTAGTTTTTCATAATTATCAAATATTAGTTTAAAATATTAAATTCAGGTGGCGCATTTCGACCTTGACACTTAGTAAATTTCTGAAAAACTCAAGTTTCGCACTTGACTGTAAAAGAGATACATAACAAGAGAGATGACGAAGATACAAGAAGAACCGCGGGAAAGAGAAGGGTAGAGGCAGATTATGAATAAGAGAGATGTGTATGATACATATTCTTTATTAAAATTCAATATTAATACAATATGAGAATGAAAATAACTTTTATCATCAGTAATTCAAGTAGCCGAGCGGTTTAAGTGACCGCATACTCGGTGAAATCGCTCTGGAGGCACAAGGTAAGGAGGATCGAGTCCAGCTGAAGGCAACGACGACCAACTATGATGCAGAAAAAATATAGAGCAGTGCTGGTGGCTGGCTGGTGGCTGGCGCAAAAAGGGTCCTGAAACGAACACACGAGGTGATGGTCAACTTGAGGTCCACGATGCGAGAGGTTACACGCAGAGAGACACATTGCGGAAGATGCGTGCCGAACCCAAAAATCTACACAAAAACCACACTATGCAAAAAAGAACAACACCAAAAAAGAAAAAAATGTGAAAAAAGCGAAAAAAGGAGGAAAAGAAGGAGGAAGAGGGAAGAGAGAAACCAAAAAAAAAAACCCTAAGTCCCAGATAATTTTTTCTCTTTCCTGTTCAGCATTGAAACTTTTTTATGTTTTTTAGTGTTCCCTCACACCAATTCCCAAAGCCAACACTCGAATGAAATCAAGTCCACGTTGAAATTTTCACGAGAAAAAATTACTGGGACTTAGTTAAAATATTTAACTTTGCCCCAATAAAATTTTCTCGTTGTGAAATATTCAATGTGAGCCTCATTCATTCGAATGTTGGCTTTGGGATAATACAGCATGCATAAATAACTCGTCTGTCTTAATTGAAAAGGTTTCAGAAAATTTGGACTTAGAAAAAAAAAGTTATCTGAAAGGACTTAAAAAAAAAAAAATATTCGAAAGAATTATAATCAGAAAATTTGGACTTAGAAAAAAAAAAAAAAATCTAGAGAATTATTTAATTAATCGATGAAATGATATTAATCGAATCAAAATTGTTTATACGACTTGATAAAACATGTGAAACCTTTACAATTAATCGAGACAAAAACAAATTTAGTTGACTTGAATAATATACAAATTATTAGAAAAAGCCATAAAAGAAATTCAATAAAACTTGTAAAATGAAATAATAAAAAATGTTCGAAAACTTGAACATTAAAAACTTCAAAACTGTTTAAAGCTGATTGTTATCCTTTAGAAATCAGGTTAAATAATTTTTACACTTTGAATTGAATAATAAATTTGTAAACAAAACTATATTTTGTCTAATCATTCAAGTCAACTCTTTGAAACTTTGTCTTGATCAAAATTGTTTTTAATAATATAAAAATAAAAATCTATCATTTAGCTATGCAGCAATATAATTGAATAAATTTAAAATAAAATTACAGTAAAAGACTTTTAAAAGCTGCATTCAATTAACAATTTGGTAAGTCGTATTGACTATTTGAAATATTTTGATCAAAACCAACAATCGTGTTATCCATAAATAAGAATGTACATGCAGTTAATATCGCTACAGGGAAAACACATGATTCTTGATACTGGAAATGTAATTTAAAAAATTGTTTCCGAAGAATAATGAACAACAGGTGTCACAAAAAAAAGAGATTTTTGTAACAAAGTAAATTTGTAATTTGTAACAAAATACCATCAATTTAGGAGTTTCCCAAAGAAGGGTGCCAAGTAATCAATGCATACAAAAAGCTGTATTGGTTAACTAATAATTTAGTAATACAATTTTAAATATATATATTAAATCAGCTCATAGTGTTATTATAGAACAAAAGAATTTCTGATTGACTGTTTATGGAATTGTAATAATATAAATTATTTTCAATGTCTTTGATACATACAAGAAAAACAAATTTTATTGTTTTATAATGATTTAGAACATGTATAAAATGCAATTGTATAAATATATACGAAAATTGAATCAAGATGTTTTCCCCATAACTAATTATATAAGAACAATGTCTTGGTTATCAAACATCACTTGCCAATTAAATAAGTGTATTGTATTATTTAAAATATAATAAAAATTTTTGCAAGTAATATTTGATAACTTTTACACACATGTCTGCCAAATAAATCATTTTTTATATAATAGTTATTGCTGAATAAATAAAGGATGAGTTATAATTTATGCAAATTGAATTGAAAAAAGCAACACGCAACAATTACAGCAACAATTAAAAAATATATATTGACTCAAATATACAATTTAAAATAGTGGGTTAAAAAGCTTGTTTAGTGAAAAAGTGCTAACATATATTCAAACATACAGGTAATTAATTCAACTTTGTCATTAACCTTTTCTTAAAAAATTTCCATAACTTTCAAAAAAATTTTCTATTATGTTTAATATCCTGTTCTGATAATCCACTCATTTATTTTTATCATTTTCATTTTGATCATATTAACATATTTCTGTACATTATTATATTTTTTTTGCAATTAATTTATTATTTAAGAAAAATCTATTTTCTTTTCCTAAACATATTGTTTGCTAAAATCTCATCAAGATCATGTTTCTTGACAGATGTCCTGAAGATGGAACGTACCTAGTTCCGAAACGTCGACAGTAAAACAAATAATTAAATAAAGAAATTGTTTATTAAAAACTTTTCTTGTTTTTTATTTTGTATTATTTTTGGATTCTTGTTCGAAACTCTACAAAATATACACAAATCCAAGACTCTACCATTCAATATATATATATATATATATATATATACTAGGATGGTCCTTAATATGGACATTTTGGAATTTTCTTGAAATTTTTTTCATGCTATTTCCATACAAAACTTTGATTGAATTGCGCACTATCTAAAAGACAATATTAAGAGCTAAAACTTTGAGTGAATTGTTTTTTATCAATTTGGAACCATTTGAGCCCTTGGGAGCAAGGAAATTCGAAAATATCCATATTAAGGACTACCCTAATATG